ATTCCATCGATTCGTCTATTACATAAAGTCACCTCCATAAATACATAGTCAAATATTCGAATCAAGTACTGCGTTTTATTACTCTTCATTCTTCAGTTTTCACTCACATAATGACACATCACAAAGATTTTCGAGAATGAGCTTGTGACTGCCACTAAAAGCCTTACATTTGAATTCTCAAGTGAATTAAATAATACGAAGTAAATTGATAATCTATGTGTTACTGTATATAATCATCAATACGATTGATACGATGATTTCTTCCATAGCTGTTTATAAATTTATTTATTTCAACACATAGATAATGGTACAAAGAGACACCAAATACATATGCGCCACACAAATCTCATTCGATATGTGTGAGGGCTGTGATACTGCCAGGGTGCCCAAACCGAAGCAGGTGGTTTTCTTAAGGGGCCACACCCCGAGCCTTCGACCTGAAGGTCTGATCGACAAGGCAGTGGAGCATCGTAAGGAGATGCCGTCCCATGGAAGCCGGTGACCAACAATTGGTTCATTCGCCATTTGTTCCCATAGGATAGTGGAGCCCATGTGCACCATTGGTTTGAAATCCGGTTAAAGCGCCGGACATTCGCTTTTGGTCCTGTCATTTTCGTAAACAACACCCTCGCCACGAGAAGGCAGTGAGTAGGACTTCCCTGACAGAGGCTATATACGCGTGGCCTTGTGAGAGTATTTCGAGAGGGAGAGCGGACTCTCCCCACTCTCGGCCGTACCAGGACATTTGGGGGCAATATGACTTTTGATATAATTAGGAGTCTTCATTGATTCTTAGCAACAGATTTGCAATAGCCAATTACAAAATATATTTTGATGCCACTTCAGTTATTAAATATTCTGCCGAATTACTTAATGTTATCATTTTCATTACATAACTCAAACAACTCATATCATAAATTATACTTTAAAGCACATTCATTCTTTGTAACTAACGTCGTTTACAGATGATTAGAAACTTTGATTTCTGTCTTGTTCTTATCTAATGGAAAGTTATTAATAGCATTATTTATGTAACTTAAAATAGCTATTCACATAAGAGAATGTCAATTTAATCTACTTACAAATGAAATCATTTTTGCCGATATTATGAGTATTAAAAGTAATGAAATCTGTCAGGTATTTTACATACATCTTAATGATTAGTCTAAATGAACAAGTTTACTTTACACCTTAATTATTTAAACTATTTCCACATTTATGAGATGTTTTTTTCTCTCTTTATGTTCCCATCCTGGTTAATATTATCCTGATATATGATTCAATGCCTGTCTAATATGCTCAAAATATACAGTGGATGATTCAATCTGGTCTAGTATAATTGAATTATATCCTCATATTGTTGATTGTATTTTGGTGACCGGTGGAAGTAATCAAATAGCATTAGCTTTACATCATCTTTTACGGCTTTATGGTGAATTTCTTGCTCCATCACATTTACGTCCAGGAATCAGCAACAATACTACTAATGAAGATTGCAGTAGTATTGTAAATGACAATAATATTAATAGTATGAATATTGAGAATGATATTACCAATAATAATATCAGTCAGAATAAAACATCATTGAATGGAATGTAATTGAACTATACGTGATTGGTTTTTGTGAAGAATAATTTTTACATTTGTGATATGTTTTATATGAATTTCTAAATTATATACTTTACTCATTTATTATATGATGGCTGTGGGGATCTTCGTGTAATCTATCTCTTTCCTTCTTTCTCTCTCTTTCTTTCTTCCTCCTCCTTAGTATAATAATCGTCTACCTTTTTTAGGTTGTCCTACTTTCTATTTACAGTTCATCATACGTAGTTTTATCTTTGTCATGTTTTTTTCTCTCTTAGTCCCACTTTGTTCAACTAATTTATTTCAAATATACAAAGTATCTTTTGTCCGTTTCCACAGTCATACCTTCCATGTTTGTTTTTCTTTTTAGTAAATCAATTAAATTCTTAGTCGATTTGTTTCTCAACTTATATCGTGTAACTTTATTGTTTTTGTTTTTGTTTTTCATTTTAATAATAAGAGACAAATGAAAATGCTGATTACTTTGTTAAATTACTTTTTATTCTCTATGTAAAACGTATGAATGAAATAAAACTATAATAAGCTATTATAAATTTGATTTTTATGAAAGATTTATTAATGTGAAAGGATTTTTATGATCAATGTAAGAATTTTATTCTCATTCTATTTCGGTTTTTTTATCTATTTCATTTGAAATTACAACATTTGTATTGTTTTGTCAATTGTCTGAGTACTAGTTTGATAGTTTGAAATTATTATCTCGTGAATATCAAAAGGGGTTTTGTGGATATTATTAGTAATTTCAATGGTTGAGATTATGAGTCAGTTGAAGCGAGACAATATATGCTCACTGGTGATTGGCTTCAAGAGGTATATCCTGGAGTTCTAATGAGAAGCAGTGACCAGTGGAGTTCAACCAGGTCTGTTGTGAGATAGTGACTCATTGAAGACAATGGTGGATGTGTCGCTCAATTTCGTGGATTAGTTGAAGTTAGACATTAACACTATTGGATGCCGGCTCAGTGGTCTAGTGACTAGGCACTCGCGTGCGAGACTGATAGGTTCTGGGTTCGAATCTCGCGAGGGATGGGGTCGTGGATGCGCACTGCTGAGGAGTCCCACAATAAGACAAAACGGCAGTCCAGTGCTCCCAGGTTTTCCATGGTGGTCTAGCTTCAATTGACTCATGATCTCAACCATTGAAATTATTATCTCATTGTTGAAAGATATTTTGACGAAAATTTAATTAGTCTTAGTTGGAATATGTAAAACCTGTGCAGCTTGCTACAATGTAGCCATTATGAAACGAGTCTTTATTGTGATTAACGATGGAATCCATGCTGCACATCCTTGGTTGATTGTAAATGTCGCTTATGATGCTTCTGTCTCCTGAGCCATATTCAGAGGATTTATTCTGTTTTATATCTCGGATTAATATCTTGAAAGAATTATAAATATTCTAAAAAATTAGTTTACATTTTATTTAATTTAAATACATTTTGTGGATTTCACTGCAGTTTTTCATCTAAATACAATTGACCAATCGTTTCATTAGTTTAAAATCAAACAACACTTAGTTCCTAAACTAGTGACTCGACACCGAACGTTGTTAATGTCTAATTAATCAATCCACGTTTTTGCGTCACCATCTTCCATGTCCTCAGTGAGTAACTGCTTCACGCCTGACACGAATTAGCTCTACCGGTCACGGTTTCTCACTAGAACTCCGGTAATTTTGTCTCGAAAACAGTCACCTCTACAACTTCTTACTGACTAATAACTTAATACTTTTTTGTTCTAAATTTAGTTCCGACTACTTAAATACTTTTACAATTAACACTTGAACGAGATATAATAATAGTTGTGTTCATTCTCGATCAGAATAGTCATTATTACAAAACACTATTTCTCAACCATTACTTGGTTATACACATGGTTGATTTCCTGCTCTTTCGGTGTAACGGATAAATTTGAGACAAAATTTTGTGACCTCGGACACATTAATCCTAAACCGATACAGCGTAAAATTCATTGATTTCCTTTACCTATGATTATCGTAACTGCTAAACACAAAAAGAAGTAAACCCATTTAGATTACTTTTTCTTTAAATTTGAATGAAATTTCTCCATCCTAATATAATGAAAATAAATTATATTTGTTCATTGTATATCTCAAATTGAAAGACTTACGTGAAGTTACTGTTCACTTAAAGTGCTTTTCATTTGGGTATATATATATACTGATTTATTTGTGTGTAGATTTAGTCTTACACATTACTTTATTCTCAAACCATTTAAAATATACAGAAACACGTTCTCAGTCAACATTAGTTATGCTCTTACACTTTTAGACAATATCATAAATAATTCTATTTTATATCAGGAAATACAAGATTAGATTCGTTAGTATAGTCTAATAAAGATTATTGAATCAGTGATCATGATTCTGAAATGCCTTCGCTAAATGACGAGTTAGACCTATCTTCGATTCTTTGAACATTGTGAGATAGCTCCGTCTCTTCGTTCAAGCCTGATGTAATCCAAATGAAGAAACAATATTAGCGACTAAGTAAATGTAAACTTGGCTATTATCTAGTTACTGGACGGAATTTCTTTTAAAGTAGCCTTGAAAGAAGAAAAATTAGGTTGAGACTAGCAGATCGATCAGTAAAGTGTCTTTTGAAATAAAATGAATCGAAAACATGTCACTTGAGGAACTTTTTGTAGTGTGAATAGGAATACGAATTCATAGAAATCAATAACAATATTAGGTTACATAAATATTTCATGTTACTGAAATCGCTTTTTGAAGATTATTCACGACATGTAGTCAAGCGATTAAAAGTAATCACACCTTACTTAACAAGTAATTTTTGAGCGGACATTATTATTATCAGCTTTATTCAATATTATATCTTTGGTATAATATAGAATTCTCATCACAAAGTATTTCCACAAGTTCCCGTTCCTTAGTTCTTGGTCGATCCTGACGATAAATATTGAGTGATCACCAATTAGAAGTTAACAGCCCAGTCAATCGACATCTAAATAATGTACAATTTTTTCGCTACATATTGCCAGCAACCACAACATCTCTGATTGAGTCATTTGTAATTTTCACAACGAAAGGTTGTACACTTTTCAGAAACCCACCTGAATAGGTTATACTATAATGATGTAATAAAACGAGAAAATTAGATAACTTGTTGAAATATCTAGATGGCAGGAACAGGTATTCCAGATATTCAAGCAGGCGGTCTTCCTGTTGGACAATATATTTTTCAATCTTTAGATAATTTTTCTTTACAAAACTCTGCATGGATTATAAATAAACTTTATAAATCGAAATAATCAGTGTATCGTGAAAGAAATATATTGTAATCTACAAAACCAAAGAAAATTAAGCAGTGAATTATATAACTTGAAACATATTCGTTGAAATTATAATTCACTTAATGGCATACAGCTTCACATTCTTCTATGCTAGCGAACTGATTGGAATTCCCGTGACAACCACCATAAATGAATCTGATACATCTCCATTGGTCTACACTAAAAGCAAACATTTCGATGGAAGCTCTGCATGGACCTGATTCAATTGGTTCCAAACATATTTTATTGATCGTTTCATTTGTTGTGGAAGATATCGCTTTAGTGTAATAATAAAGCATAACAAAATAAATTATGTAGTTATGAATAAAAAACATTCAATCATTAAAAATATTCCTTAGGACCATAATCATAACATTCGGGACGATTTAAAATCTCTTTTGTCACTAGTAAAGTGATAATAAGCTATAAATATCATACTACTGTCGAGGAATTTTCATCAGATTACTTAATTACACCCAGTTAATGATGAATGTAACTTCTCAAATCAAATGTCTACACAAGTGAATTTTAAGCAACAATGAAACAGCTATCCAAACCAAACTATACTTCAAATGCCTTGTAAATTATGTAATTTTGTAATCCAAAGTAGCCTTAAATTTAAATATACAGATAAATACCAGTAAACTGGTTGCTTCTTCGCTCTCAGATTTAAACGTGTGTGGGTGTTTGATAATATTAAAATCTGTAGTATTAAGGGAACTATTTTCAATCGAAGACATTTGAATGTTACACATAAATAATCAGCTATTACCTTTTTACATTCATTATGTCAGTGTTCAATGTTCACTTGAACCAAAATTTAAACTTCTAATCACTATTAACAATTAGTTTAATTTTACACTTAAAAGTCTCTATGATGTAAGACTTAGTATTGTATGAAAATTTATTAGTGTACACTATAGCATATACGCATTTAACAATCTTTTATAGTAAACTTAGTCCGTTAAGCATAACATGTAAAACACTATCAATTCGATCACTTTTACGTCTCAATTTATTAGGTGTTCATTCCAAAATGTGATGTTTGCAAACTAGAATAAAAAAACTTCGCCTATGATTCTTGTATATTGATGACAATGTACTTAAAGTGAAATTAAGCGTAAACCGAATTTAAATTTTACACAATGTTCAAGAACAGTTTGTTTGAACAATGAGAACAACTCATCCAAAAATTCATAATTATTCGAATAGGTACATAGTTCAGCATTTTTTAAAACAAAAAATAGCTGACTACTAAACATATCAGTATGGGGTTGTGGAGATTGTTAACGTCTTTGTTGAGATCATGAATCGACTAAAACCGAAGGTCCTGGGTTCAAATCCTACCTGCGAGATCGTGAATGCTCACTTATGAGGAGTTCTATACTAGGACGAAACGGCTGTCCAGTGCTTTCAGTTATTCAATAGTGGTCTAATATCAATCGATTCATGATCTCAATCGAATACTAAGTATATTGCTACTATTTTAGTCAATTGTCTATAGTACATAACTATTGATGAATATCTGATATAAAATATTTTTAAGCGGATATAAATTCAACCCTTATTATCAAATGTTCAAAAAAATTACATGAATTAGTCTCATGTTGTCAAGGTGATGAAAATACTAAATCCTCAAGTGAACTTTTAATTTTTTAAATCCATCATTAAAAGTCATTGTATCTGAATTGATCTGCTACATCAGGCATTTTACCAGAGATTTTAGAATTATTTAGAAACCTTTTTTACATGTCAAATTCGGAAAACAAAATGTAATGGTCTCATTATCTATCAACAATGAATAGTCAGTCAAATCTATGAAATACTTTAAAAAATATAAATAAACGTTAACAATGAATACGGTGTTGTACATGTTTTCTACATTCTGTAATGGAAAGATAGGTTGTCTTATCAATAACAACAAAAACATTTAAAGAACAATGTGAACTTATCATAAAATTACTATGAGTATAAGAAATAAATAAATTCACACATCTTTGTAACGTTAAGAATTGAAATTTCAATCGACCTTCGCTTTCTCTCTGAAAAACTCCCATTATATTAAAACATAATCATATATAAACAAAGAATATTCTATTCAATAATTTCTTATCAGGTTCCACAATTATCATATCCAAATTGATCATCCACAAAATTGGCCAGGATTAAGGCAGAGTACATTATTATTATTATTATTATTATTATTATTATTATTATTATTATTATTATTATTACACTAACTAGCCTTTTTGAGAAATTTATTCAGTATTCACCCCTATCTGCTAATTCTTGCCTAATTCATATTATTCTACATATTACTTAATTCTTTCTCTCTTACTCCATGTTCACCATATTTATTCTGATCATTAATTATCACACAATTTCATTTCACTTATAAACTGATACAAATTAACACTTTATATTAGTCAGCTCCAACATTAACGATTTGATTCGATTTTTAAGGACACATAATCCTTAATTCACATGTTACAATTCTAAGTGATGTACTCTACCTTAAACTTGCCCAATTTTATGGATTATTAATTCGGATATGATAATTGTAGAACGTGATAAGAAATTATTGAATAGAATATTCTTTGCTTTCTATCAAGTTTCAGTTTAGCTATCACTGTGTTTAACTGAAGTAAAAAAACAACTGAATAATCAAGGTTATCTTTTCTTTAGAATTCTTATTTAATTCAAAGTAAAAATCTACATCCAAATAAAAACACACAATGGAAACCAACAAAAAAAACCGATGAACAATATTTAGACTCTTAATGAAAAGTTTCTTATCAGTCAACTACAACCAGGTTCAAATGTGACTACTTATGAAATATTCATAAATCCAAACACTATAATGCAACAATATGATTTATGAGTAAAAACGTATTTCGACATGGTAAAACTCAAATTTATGATCAATATAGAAAAGTATTTGTAGATCAAAGGCTTAAAACTTTATACACTCAACTCTCAACTGATAAGCCGGAACCTCATTCTATTTAAATCCATTCCCATAGGTCTATCATGATAACTAAATTTAAACATTTTTATTAAGTTATACTGGGAAAATTTCTTGATATATTTTATGACTTCATTACAGCTTAGAACTATTGATTATTCATCTAATGTTAATGATCTTAAAATTATAGATTAAGTTTCAGTGGGGGTTATAATGTCTACAATCCTACTGTAGGTGAGTATTTCAAAATGTGATCAAGCAATCCATAAGTCTAAGATATTCTTAAACATAATTCAGATTAAAAGTCAATGCCAAACCAAGTATAATTTATTTCTATATCTTTTTAAAACAGTAAAAATTTAAATTCACTTGGTATTGTTTGACTTGTATCTTCCCATTGAGTTTTTAAGACTGCAATTGATCAGTCTTTTATTGGCATATGTGCATACTGTGCGTATTATATCAACTCTGAGATGCAGGTACATCCAGCTGACGAGTCCCAAATAGGACGAAAGGCGAATCCTGGATTCCACTGCTAGCCACTATCCATCATTGCTTACACTAGAACTTTGTTTTTTAAGTAAAACAAAATTTATCATGATTCCAATCATATTTGATCGTCTTTCGTTAGTATTCTTATTTTATTAATTATTACATCTTATAATTTGTAATGTCTTATTAAACTATTGTCTCTTTTGTCCAGGTCATTTACTGACGCCATATTTTAAAAAAAAAGACGTTTTTCCTCTCAGAAATGAATAAAAGTAATTTCAAAAGATGAACTTATTGATAAAATTAAGCATTCACTTTATACTAACCAGTATTATGTCCCAACCTTCGTTAACAACAGAAAATAAGTGAAATGTAAATTTAGTCCATTTTACTGTTATAAGGTATTCTAATTATTTCTTTTGTTCATTTAGCTAGAAAGGATAATACATTTAAAGTTAACCAGAGAAAAATAAACATGAAACTACTATGCTGACTATGTACTTAGTTGTATCTGAGATAGTTACCATGTTTGTCCTGAAATCGTTAGTTATTAATATCCATTAAGTCTAACATATTCAGTACTTATGTCGAAATTTTGAAATACTACTTATTTTAGAAGTTATTTATGGCTAAAATTCAAACGTTGAAATTCTAGCATGTCAGATCAACTTGTCATATAACTACAGAAAGAACATCAATATAATGAATTAATAAGTAACTGAAAAGTCTTTATATCTCATAGAAATTTTATTATTTTTTTTAACTTACCTTGACTACCACCGGGTACTTTAACACTATCTACACCAGATAATTTGGACTTACAATATACAATTCCAAACCAAACAGATAATAATCCAATAACAATGACGATAATTAGAATTAACAAAGTAACAATCCATAATTGATTAGATATAAAATAACTTTTAATTCCTTCCTCATTCTTTAATGATTGATTTGTTTTATGCTTTATTTCCTTTTTATTATTTCCATTATTATGTAAGGTTTTAGTTAATATATCACTTTTTATACATTCTGATGAGTTCAATACTTCAGTAATTTCATCAGTACAATTTAATAAATCTAATTGAGCTTCTATATTGTTATCATTTTCAACGATTTCATAGATTAATTTCGATGGCATTTTGATATAATTGCATAGATTTCTTCTTCTTCTTCGTCTTCGTCTTCTTCTTCTTTTTAAATATATATCAATATTGAATTTACTTTGTTTTAATTCATAGTAATTGTCAATCAACTAATCCGATCAATTTACATTTTGATCATCACCATTAAATTCATTCTCATTTTAAGGATTTTATCTATATTTAAGCATTATTAACATGATCACAAATATGTATATATGAATAGTATCCATATATGTTATATCATGTTAAAAAATTAGTATCTTACATTAAATTGAATTTGAAAAATCACGTATATTTTTTTCAAAGGTCCATTACAATTTATGTAAATTATATTTGATCTCAGTAGAGATTACTGATATATAATAGTCAATAAATAACCTTTTGTATTATAGGCCCTAGTACATGCATATACGCTATCATCACGTGACAGGTGATTCTCACGAGTTTCATAAGTATAAATACTGACAAAAATGAAATCGGATATTTGACATTTAATAGAATTACATGATTTCAAATAAAGTGACATCATTTATTCAATCGATGTGTTGAATTAATCTTAATGCCCTGATTGTCTAGTTAACCTCTGATAAGTTGAATGATCTGGAAGATCATCTTTAACCAATTTGATCTTATTATAAGTCGTTTTTTTATTTGAACAGGTTCAATGAATATCTATTTGACAGTTTGGTGATTGTTTAAATTGATAGAAGCTATGTAAGATATAATTCATTTATTTAATATGTAAATCTATTCACAATCTCTTCCAGTCTGTATTCCCATATGTATTCTTATTACCAGGGTACGGTTCCTCCGACGTCACAGCAGAACTATACACTGGTCAATGGAATATCTTTAAGATGAATTGATGTAACAGATTTGGATCATACTGCTGCTAAGCACTTAAATGTGGTATTCAAAAGACATAAACAAACATGATAATAAATCGTAAACAGAGGTAGAATATTGTCAGACAACAGCGTTAGAAGTCAAGTAGATAGATAAAATGTGGAAAGGAATCACCGAGCATTGTTAAACAGAGCCTAAATGTTCGGCAGTTACTGAAAAAAGGTCAAAGAACATATTTACTTGCTTACTCACACCAGGTACCCCTCGTGGACCAGTATAGGCCGCTCAACAACATTACTGATGGCATCCTGTCAACGAACACTGAGTGTCGTGTGTAGGCAATTGTTTATAAACACTTGTGGACTTTAAAAATGGTTGTAGTAGTTCTCTAAGTGTCAGCTTCATACAGTAGGACTGTCTTGACGTTCATATTGAAGATTCTGACCTTGGTATTGGTTGACACATGTTTTGAGGTCTATATGTTCTTCAACTGTAGGAATGCTGTCCTAGTTTTGCCGATCCTCATCTTTATGTCTGTATCAGATCCTCCTTGTTCATCAATGATGCTACTCAAGTACGTGAAAGTCCACAACTCTTCAGAGCTTCTCCACCAAGTGTGATTGGGTTAGTGTTCCTCGTATTGTGTCTAAGGATCTTACTCTTTCCCTTGTATATGTTTAGACCTACTGACGCAGAGGCTGCTGCTACACTGGTTGTCTTTACTTGCATTTGTTGATGTGTATGGGATAGAAGGGCCAGGTCATCTATGGAGTTCAAGTCGTCTATTTGCATCCAACCTGTTCACATTATTCCATACTTCCCTTGAGATTTGGAGGTCTTCATAATCCAGTCAACCACTAGAAGAAAGAGAAAGGGGGAGAGTAAGCATCCTTATCTAACTCCGGTCCTTACTTAAAACGAGTGTCGCCTGTCTCTCCATGCACCACTACGGTGTAGTCTGTCGTATGAATTCCGTATGATGTTGACTATTTTATGAGGTACACGATGGTGTCGAAGATTTTTCCATAGAGTTCTCCAAGGAAGTTCATGCATAGCGACGAGTTACATTCAACTGACTGTTCAACGATGATTCGTAGTGTGACGATCTGGTTTGTGCAAAAGTGATCCTTATGGAGTCCGGCATATTGATCCTGAACTTCAGTGTTTACTGAATCTTTTGTCCGGTCCATCAACACTCTGTTGAAAATCTATCCCAGTATCGATAATAGTGTGTTACCTCTGTATTTCTTACATTTTTCCAGATATTTCTTTGGTATCTTGGTGAGGTGTCAATCTTGCCAGTTTGCTGGCACCTGTTTCTCATCCTAAATCTTGCAGAATAGAATGTGGAGCGTGTTTGCAGCTGCTTCTACGTCTGACTTTGCTGCTTCATGTGGTATGTTGTCAAGTGCTGCTGCTTTCTCACTCTTGATTTATCTGATGATCATCCAGATTTCGTCGATCAATTATGGATTGATCGCTATGAGGTCTGTGTGTGCTGCTTCGATGACTGGTGTATTCAATGAATTTGGAGTACTCGAGAGTACTCCAATGTGTTCTACCCATCTATTTCTCTGTTATTTAAATATTATGAACATTTTATTGAATCAAATATGATCAATCTGGGTCTCAGTGATATCCATCTAGCTTAATGTGTGCGTTTGTGTGAGAAATTGGTGTTATCTATAATCATTTTGTTGAATACACATAAATCTAAAAAAATCTCAACATTCTCATTCCTTCTTGCAAGTCCATATCGTCCCATGATATCTTCATGTCCAGTGTTGTCCATCCCTATCTTGGCGTTTAGGTCTCCCATCAGGATTGTCAGATCGTCTCCTGAACACTTAGTTATGATCGGTTGTAGCCTCTTATAAAACTGATCTTCATCGTCGTCGATGTTATCATTGGTAACTGCATAACAATGAATAGCATTCATTCTAATTCCCTCCCTCTTTGTTTTGAAGTATGCTTTGATGATCCTGAATCCATGAAATTCCCACTCAACAAGTGCACTTTGTGCTCCTTTGAACAGCATCAGAGCAACTCCCTGAGTGTGTGGAGCATTTTCTTCCACTGGACCAAAGTATAGTAGCATCTCTCACGAATCTAACCTTTTGTAGTGTTTGAATGAACTAATGATATCTTTGTACTTGTTGAATGCTTGATATCGAATTCCAAATACAGTACTTTCGTTCGTGCTTATCTAGTACTTCTTGATCCGATTACGTTATTTCTGAGATTCTTAGTTCATACGATAATTCAAATACTCATGATTATCACATTGGCGTCGTGAAGGAGCCTGCGATGGAATTGTTGGATATACATTCAGATTTTGATGCTTTTGAGGATTACTTTGAAAGGTTCGAAATCTGGGTTATGAGTAAGGAAGATGATGAGGATGTTAATATTGTAGCACATTTCCTCACATTCATCGGAAAAGAAACATATAGCTTATTAAAAACTCTGGCTTTACCGGAAAACCCATTTCGCTTCGTTATACAGTTCTCAGGGAACTACTGCTAGACTATGTTAAGTATACAATTTTCGATTGCGGTAAAGGGAGATTTCGTATAATGAATCATGAGGATATAAAACATTCCGCTGCATTACGTCATCCCAACCCAGTGCATAGTCACGGTTATGCAAATAATTCATTGAGGAGTTGCGATGCAGTTCACGAAGATGGGCACAAGTTTGGCCAGTGTTTGTCCTGTGGCAAGTTCTACTTTTTTAGTTCATGCAAATTTCGTAATTCTAAGTGCTTTAAATTTGGTGATATTGGACATATTCAGTCAGTCTGTAATACTAATGTTCATCTTACTACAACTAATATTAAGTCTTGTAATTCTGATTCTACTTAGTCGAGTATTTATAATGATCATTTATCTTTATCAACGATTTTAAAAGACAGTGTGGAGTCATATAGCAGTTCGGAGTTAAGTGAAACTCTGAATCCTTGTGAGACAACGGTTTTCAATCAATCAGTTTATCAAAATTCTCATGTTATTGTACCAGGTATGGCTTTTCCTTATAATTCAAATAGTTCCGATGAAATTCCTTGGAAATCTGAAGAAAATATGTTGAGTGAACATAATTATGATCAAAAACCTGATGTAGTTTTGATGGGTACTGATTTTTATAGTGATCCTTCACTCTGCAATGACATTCTTAATGAATTCGAGGAAACTATTTCAGAAGAGTCAAATATTGATGTCATACCAAATATTATTTGTCCTCATAATGCATTTGTTTCTTGTGAGAAACTTGTTCAATGCGAAGCACGAGTATTAAATGAGCTCTATTCTGATTACAATTCGGATGATTTCATATCAACTGCTGTTTATCCTTTTCACAAAAACACTTCCAGTTTTTACTCTAATCAATGTGAAAAATATGTTTTAAGTGAAGTCACATCATTCCTAACTTGGGGATATAAAGACCCGACATTATATCGTGGGGGAGGGTAGTCTGAAAGTCTATGGTTCAAATTCTCGATAAGAGCGGTTTCATTACACAACCGACATGCTGATTACACAATCCAAGGAAGCAGGTGAGTCTGTTCCGATTTTGGTTGTTACTTCTAATATTAATGAGTGCATTCTAAATAATAGAGTTTTTATCCAATACAATGTCGGACAAACACTGGATGAACTTAAGAAGAAGACATACAACCGATTACAGACACTTATACTCCAATTTAAGCAGTGGCGGATGTGGTGTTTGAATGAACTAATGATATCTTTGTACTTGTTGAATGCTTGATATCGAATTCCAAATACAGTACTTTCGTTCGTGCTTATCTAGTACTTCTTGATCCGATTACGTTATTTCTGAGATTCTTAGTTCATACGATAATTCAAATACTCATGATTATCACATTGGCGTCGTGAAGGAGCCTGCGATGGAATTGTTGGATATACATTCAGATTTTGATGCTTTTGAGGATTACTTTGAAAGGTTCGAAATCTGGGTTATGAGTAAGGAAGATGATGAGGATGTTAATATTGTAGCACATTTCCTCACATTCATCGGAAAAGAAACATATAGCTTATTAAAAACTCTGGCTTTACCGGAAAACCCATTTCGCTTCGTTATACAGTTCTCAGGGAACTACTGCTAGACTATGTTAAGTATACAATTTTCGATT